GTGAGTCTCTTTCTGCCTGCCCCACCCCGGGGCGTCCCGAGACCGTCCCAGTGACCCCAGCACGCAGTGTGGATGCGAGCGCGCCCCCACAGGATCCCCTCCGCCACCTCCACAGCCGAGTAGAAGCGGTTCCAGTTGGAGCCCAGTGCGGGAGCGCGGCTGATGTCACTTTTGGAAAAGCCCTTGAACAAGAGCAAACCTAAGCCCACGTTCACATACGGGTTGACCTACAATCGGAGGGTGTGCGAGGGCGGGCTGGGGCGGCGCGTCTGCGGGGAGGAAAACCCGCTGGAGAGTGGGCAGAGGAAGCAAAGCAAAATGTCAGATAAGAGAAGAGGGGCGAGGGAGGAAGACAGGCGCTTGATCGCAGAGAGGGAGGTGGGAAGGCGCGGAGCAGGCACCGGCTGCCAGGTGACTCGAAGGCAAAGGAGAAAAGAGACGGGCGCGTGGCGGGCACCCGATCTCCAGGGGCCCAGCCCACCCCTTCCGGGATCCCGATGCGACCAGACACCACGTGTGGCAGAGACGGCGCGGAGCTGGGGGGTGAGGGGGAGCGGGGAGGGGTGGGGCGGGAGGGGGGCACAGGGACCAAAGAACTCAGCGCCCCAGACCGCGCCTGGCGTGCTGCACACCTGGCATCCAGGACTCGCCATCTGCTAGGAGCTCACCGCCGCTCCGGCCAGGGGTGTGGGCTTGGAGAGCGATAAGGACACGGCCAGCGGAGTGGATGGCTTCTGTCAACCGCCGCAATGAACTCTATGAAGGTTTAAGGTGCTCCTACTGTGTGCTGAGCGCAGCCTCCAGCTGCTGGGCTCAGGAACGGCACCGGTACCGCACTGACTGTTAGATTGCACCCTCAAACTAGGAAATAATCCTGTGTATATTGTTGTATAATAAATCAACAATAGGGACAATCTTCGCAAATTCGCTGTGCCTGGGAGGGTGGTTGAAGCAGTCTGGGTTCTGGAGAGGCTACAGACGGACGTTGGGTGATTTTCCTCGGCTTCCTGACGCAGGAATGACCACCCCCAATTCCTGTCCCACAGTCTCACAACACAGAGATCAAAATGAACAATAACAATTTAAAATGCAGTTTAGGGATACTTCATTTGGGCTAGAACGGTTTGCAAATAACTGAAGGCTGTCCTTAAACACTCAAATCATTAATTTCACAAATGTCAGACCTGGAACACCAACTTATTGAAACAAGTGTTTTGTAATGTAACTTGTTGTTGTTGTTAATCCTCACTGGAGGATGTTTTTTCCATTGATTTTTAGAGAGCGTGGAAGGGATGGAGGAGGGCAAGAGTGAGAGAGAGAGAGAGAGAGAGAGAGAGAGAGAGAGACATTGATGTGACACATGGATTGGTTGCCTCCTGGGTGGAATCTGCAACCAAGGTATGTGCCCTTGAACAGGAATGGAACTCACAGGCTGATGCTCTAACCACTGACCAACAAATCAGGGCTGTAATGTACCTTTATATTATTCTGAGAGAAAATTCATGAATATAACTTACTATGCATTGTTATGAGAACCACGCACCATTGTTTTAAATCTCCATAATGCTCAAACTATAATATAAAGGGGAAATACAAGTTACAAAATTAATAATAAAGTAATATACATTTCAAATGTGCATGCTCAGGCTATATTTCATGGAAACACCCAAAATATTGTCTAAAATGTTTAAAATTCTCCCTAGGGAGTACTACTGTCCAGATGTGAATTATGCATTATGAGTTCCAGGCAAGTACTAAGTAGTAGGAATGCTATTGATATTCTGAATTCTTAAATTCGAAGTGGATGTGGGTATTCTTGCCTTGTTGTGGACCCTCTCCCATTGACTGGATTTGGTCAGGTGACTTGCTCCGGCTAATAGCACATTGGCAAGCATGGCCAGGCAGAGGCTTGATAAGTCCCACATATGCAGGTTTGTGCACCTGAAACCTTGAGAACATGGGGTTGGAAAAAAGCCAGTCTAATTTAGTGGAAGATGAAAGGCTTTACAGGGAAAGCCAAGATGCCTTGCCAACACGAGGGTCCCAGGCATGTGACATGCTATCTTGGACTTCAGTAGGAGCATCAGTTGGGGACAGCCACCTGATTGATCCCAGATGAGTCCAGCAGAAGAATCACTCAGATTGACAACCAACGGAATTATGAGAATAATGCACCATTGTTTTAAATCACTATATTTTGGGTGGTTTGTTGCATAGTAATAGAGGATGGAGAAGTATTAATTACAATGCCATGTGATAGATGCCAAAATAAAAATCTACCCAAGAAGGTTATCTTTGCTTACTGACTCCAGATCTTCATTATGAGTTCAATCAAAAATATTCATCTATGCCTTCGGTGAATACAAGCGTGAATTAGACTTCAGTAACCCCAGACATCCTATCTACTCTAGTTGCAAGTTGTGCTTCTTTCCATTTCCCAGATGTTCCTGAAATTCTTCCTCCCCTCAGGAGGCCTGCAGCTCACCAGCATTGTGGTGTTTCCTCTCTGTGTCTCCTTCTGCTGTCTGTGGCCTTTCTTGGCCAGCTCTTTTCTCTCTACCTTTTATTTTTATTTTTCCTTCTTCCTGGTCTCATTTCTCTCCATTTTTTCTGCTATTGCTTCAACACTTATTTACTTATGGTCAGTAAACATATCAACCATATTAAGCCTTCAATAATTTGCTTTGTTAGTGTATCTTTTTTTTTTTTTTGCCATTGCTTCTGCTTGTAAATTTCTTTCAGTCAAGTGTTGGGGGTGGGATGACTATCAACTCTCTAGACTCTTGAAAAGTGTGGTGTTCACATACAGGTTGTAATTCTAATGTCCTGGGATGGTGTATTAGTCAAGGTTCTCCAGGGAAACAGAACCAGCAGAAGATAGGTAGATAGATCTCAATTATGGAGAGAAGTCCCAAGATTTGCAGTCAGCAAGCTGGAGAGCCAATAGTGTGGTTTCAGTCTAAACCCCAGGAGGTTTGAGGCCAGGAAAAGCTGATGTTTCAGTTGGGAGTTCTAAGGCAAGGGGAAAAAAATGATATCCCAGCAGGCAGGCAGGCAGGCAGGTAGGCAGGCAGGCAGGCAGGCAGGTAGGCAGGCAGGCAGGTAGGCAGGCAGGCAGGCAGGTAGTCAGGGGGAATTCTTCTGGCTTGGGGGAGAGTCAGCCTTTTTGTCCTATTCAGGTCTTCAACTGATTGGATGAGGCCCAGCCACATAAGGGAGGGCAATCTGCTTTCTCAGTTTATTGATTTAAATGTTAATCTCATGAAAAACACCTTTCATAGAAACACTCAGAATACTATTTAAAAAATTATCTGAGCAACTGTGGCCCAGTCAAATTGACATGTAAAATTATAACACATATTTTTCAAATTAAAATGCAGACTATCCAAGAAGATACTGTATTGAGCTACTATTAGGCAATAATAGCTTACAGTACAGGTCTTTATAGTAGCTTTTCTAGTAGGTTCAAGTAGGTTTTAGCATGAGTGGGAGGGGCTGGGGAGAG